CTGCCCCCTTTTTAGACAACTCCGACAAGCTTTATAAATTCACTGTAGAGAAAAGAATGCTACAGATAAACAGATACAACTTATGTAGGAAGATTTCTTTCATCTCTGAGACCAGTCGAGTCACTGGGTAATACTTTACAGTGGTAGTAAACTCCACTTGGTCACTCATAGCTACAGACAGGGTTTTATTTTCATCGGGAACGCGGGGGAACGCAGTTCCGGCACCGTATGTAAAAGGGGTCCTGGGGTGTGCTGGAGGATCTATTGTTGCTGGCTGCTGAGATCCACTAAGATCTATTGTCACTGAGGGGGGTTTATTTTTGTGTGGTGGTCTATTGTTGCTGGGGAGGTCTATTGTTGCTGGGGGTCAATTGTTGCTGGAAGAGATCTACTGTTGAGGGAGGGGTCTATTGTCTATTGTTGCGGCTGCTGCAGAGTCTATTGATGCTGGCTTCTAGGGGATCTTTTGTAGCTGCTGAGGTAATATTTTGTTTTTGGGGGTGCAGTGATGCTGCAGGAATCCGTTGCGGCTGGGGGAGGGGTCTATTGCTGCTCACTGCTGTTTTTTTTTGTTTGTGTTACGGTACTGCGTTACTTTAACTGACAATTGCGCAGCCATGCAACGCTGCATCCAAATGAAATTTATGTCCTTTTTTTGCCATGAATAAAAAGCTTTCTTTTGGTGGTATTTGATTGCCTGTGCGGTTTTTTATTTTTTGCGTTATAAATATTAGTTAACCACTTGCCCTCCTGAGGATTTACCCCCCTTCCTGACCAAGCCATTTTTTGCGTTACGCAGCTGCGTTACTCTGACAATTGCGTGGTCATGCAACGCTGTACCCAAATAAAAAAATGTATGTCCTCGTTTTCCCACAAATTGAGCATTCTTTTGGTGGTAATTGATTGCCTGTGTGGTTTTTTTTGGCGCTATAAAAAAAAGCCTGACAATTTTGAGAAACAAAAATATTTTTGACATTTTGCTATTAAATATGTCCAGTAAAAAATGTAAAAAAATCAAACTTTGACATAAATTTAGGCCAAAATGTATTCTGCTACATGTCTTTTGCTAAAAAAAAAAATACCACAATCATAATGTGAAGTGAAAGAATGCTGCGCTACATGAAACAATGGTACAAACCATTATATAACCAAAAAGTGAAGAATAAAATATATATTAGAAGATAAAATAGTAGAAAAATATTAATATTGAAATAAAAAAAAAAAAAACATAAAAAAAATAAATAAATATATATATAAAAAAAACAAAGAAAAACACACAAAAAATAAAAAAGATAAAGAATATTTTTAAGTGTGAATCAAACAAGAGTCATTCAAAAAATCAGGTTCAATCATATAAGTGTTCATTCAGTGAACCCACCTTTGGACAACGACAAATATGTGCGTCTGTTATCAATTCCCATGCAAAGACATCCTCTGCTCACCTCACGCAGTGTGACCTCACATTATACAATGTTATGGTCTAACTGCACTTTTGGTCCCATATAGACTCAGAAGATCAGCTTGCTGAATGAAGACTCCAAAGTCAGCTCCCTCCTCATAAGCGTCTTGGGAAATAAAACAAACGAAACCAGCGCTCCAATTCCTCATGCAAACTTGAAAATTGCCAGGATGTCAACCGAAAGGGGTGCTGCCCTTCAAAGATCAGGAAATCTCACCACTAGTAAATATATATGATATGATATAGGGATCAGCCAAAATAAGCAAAAGAAAAAAAAAAAATTAAATAGATAGAAAAGGGATAGAGGTAAATGAAAATATATGTGTGTACAGGGGCGGACTGACAACTCACGGGGCCCCCGGGCAATAGGGATCATGGGGCCCCTATGTCCTTGCCCAAACTCAAAAATGCCTATGAAAAAGGTACCAGGGGCATCTCATGGGGCCCCCTACTGACCCCCCGGGCAATAGGGGATCATGGGGCCCCTATGTCCTTGCCCAAACTCAAAAATGCCTATGAAAAAGGTACCAGGGGCATCTCATGGGGCCCCCTACTGACCCCCCGGGCAATAGGGGATCATGGGGCCCCTATGTCCTTGCCCAAACTCAAAAAATGCCTATGAAAAAGGTACCAGGGGCATCTCATGGGGCCCCCTTCTGACCCCCCGGGCAATAGGGGATCATGGGGCCCCTATGTCCTTGCCCAAACTCAAAAATGCCTATGAAAAAGGTACCAGGGGCATCTCATGGGGCCCCTTACTGACCCCGGGCCCTCGGACAGTGCCCGAGTTTTCCAAATGGTCAGTCCGCCCCTGTGTGTGTAGGTGTATATACACAAACAATGCAACAAGATATTGCTTCCATATAAAAAATACCATATAAACTCTAGACCCACAAAAAATAATAATAATAAATGTGTATATAGAGAGTATATATTGGGGGAGTTTGCTGTTTACGGTGACCGTACATTGAGGGTTGGGGTCACTCCCTGAGGGACAATAAGCAAGTGGGTCTTTATTCATTCATTCATTCATTTTTTTCATTTTGTAATTTTTATTCATCTTATATGTGCACCCTATGTGTGTTTATTTGTGTATGCTATGTGCAATTCACAAGTTTTTTTTTTTTTGCTTAATTTTTTTGTTTTTTTCTCTTCTCCCTCAGTCATTGGGCCGCTGGGAGTGAGTGGGAGGGTCTTATTTGCCCTTTTTGATATTTCTTTGGTATATAAGATTGTGGCCAGCAGGTTCATGCTTACCCCCGAGGAAGGGGGTTTAGCTCCCGAAACGCGTCAGTTCATCTGCATCACAGACTTAGCACATGCGACTGTTTTTGTGGACCATTTACACTGCTTATGATATCGTTGGTTTGTGAGTATTTAGTCATTTGTCTATCCATTAAAACAGGTGGTTTACCACGGTAATGCAGGATGAGAGTGCGCCTTTGTTTGTTCTTTTTTTACTGATAAGCGTCTTTGTATCAGCCATATTCCTCATTAAAAATAACTCAACACAGTGCTTTATCCTTTTAAACTTTTATTCATCAATTAAAACATATGTTCCGGAGGTGTATTTTGCACCAGGTATGATGAAGATCCAGTGATGTACTGATTAAACACTAGATGGCAGTATCATCTCAGCAGCAGAGTCCTGCACATGCTCAAATCAGACACCATCCGTAATGTAATGCCAGGCAGAGCACGGGCCACTTAATGAATGCTATTGCCTGCTGTAATGTCATTCCAAGAGCCATTTGTAGAGTACTACAAGCCGCTATCCCGATGAATAGCAACATCGTGACGTCATCCGTACACTCCTCTCCAATGCGTTTCGTCACTAATCACGTGACTTTATCAAGGGGTTACCTTGGTATCTTTTTTTTAGACTGTTACCCCCTCTGTTTTCACCTGGCTGTCAGGGTCCACCGCGGCGTCTGGTCCGGCGCATGCGCAGTCTCGGCGGATCGCGCCGGGATACGAGCACTAGATCCCGGCTGGCCGCGGCTGAAAGAGACTCGCGCATGCGCACTAGGCGCCGCAAATACACTCGGGCAACCAATGACAGCACAGGGCGCGGTATTTAAAGATGCCCTGCGCTGTCACAAATTGCCGTGAGGTCTTCCTGTGTTCCCTTGCGTTCCTATACTCTGCATTTGTTCCTGATATCTGACCCGATTGCCCTGACTACGCTGCCTTCCTCTCCTATCCTGACCCCTGGCTTGTCTGACCTCTCTTCGGATTGACTACTCTGGTACTGACCCTACGTGTGACCCAGCTATCCTCTGCCTGCCGATACTGTACCTCGCTGCTTCCACGGTAACAACTGACCTGTCTGACTTCGATCCATCCATCCTGCCTGGGCCAGCCGTTCCCTTCACATCAGGCTCTCCCCCTGTATTCATCCCCTGTGGACCCCTCTGCCACGGGTGGGAGTGCTCAGTGGTCGTGACCTGGTCCTGGTCTGCTTCAAGTCCATCCCCACCATCAGGGGCCCTGGTGAATACGCAGACCGGGACTTAGACTCCACGCTCTGGGAAATCCTGTCGGTGGACTGCCAGAGGCACCACCAGGTGGATCATAACACTGGCGTTCTGCATAGTAACACACACTTCCTGTGTTACAGTGTGTCCCTACTCTGGAGGAAGGAGCTCATAGACACCTTTGGACAGCAGCATTGCTAATTTGGTGGAGAGGAGTGTTAGGTGGACTAACACTAATAAACCGAAGCCAAACTCCAGTTAATACTTTATAAGCAGTTAAGCAAAAGTTTTATTTCCTTTTGGGATAAAGTTTTTACATAAATAAATAAAAGCTGATCATTGCAAGCACCCCTGTCAGTAGTAAATGGTTTGCCTCATCCCTGTAACTTCCAAATTTGTAGGACAGCTTGTTCTGTTGAAAAACAACAGACTTACTGGCAGGATCACCAGGTGAAAATAAGAGAGAAAGCCTTAAAAAGAAAACAAACGCAGCCATTACATCTAAGAATTGGTAAGCTGCAATATAATAAATGGTTGCTTTTGGGTTTCATACAGCTTTAACCATTTCAATACCGGGCAATTTTCCCCCTTCCTGCCCAGGCCATTTTTCAGGTTTCAGCGCTCTCACACTTTGAATGACAATTGCGCGGTCATACAACATTGTACACAAACTAAAATTTTATCATTTTCTTCACACAACTATAGCTTTCTTTTGGTGGTATTTAATCATCCCTGGGATTTTATTTTTTGCTAAATTATCAAAAAAAGACCAAAAATTTTGAAAAAATAACACATTTTTCTTTGTTTCTGTTATAAAAGTTTACAAATAAATAATTGTTCTTCATAAATTTAGGCCGAGATGTATTCTGCTACATGTCTTTGGTGAAAATAACCCAAATTAGGATGTATTTTTAGTTTGTAGGAAAGTTATAGAGTTCACAAAACTATGGTATAGATCTGAATATTGATCAATCCTGAAGTACTGACGGCCAATCTAATTTCTTGAGGTCCAAGAATGTCAGAACAGTACAGATATCCCCACAAATGTCAGCACAGTACAGATATCCCCCAAATGTCAGCACAGTACAGATATCCCCAAATGTCAGGACAGTACAGATATCTCCCAAATGTTAAGACAAGACAGTACAGATATCTCCCAAATGTCAGGACAGTACAGATATCCCCCAAATGTCAGAACAGTACAGATATCCCCCAAAGTCAGCACAGTACAGATATCCCCCAAATGTCAGGACAGGACAGATATCCCCAAATGTCAGGACAGTACAAGATATCCCCTAAATGTCAGGGCACAGTACAGAAGATCCCCAAATGTCAGAACGGTACAGATATCCCCCAAATGTCAGGACAGTACAGATATCCCCCTAAATGTCAGGACAGTACAGATATCCCCAAATGTCAGAACTGTACAGATATCCCCCAAATGTCAGGACAGTACAGATATCCCTCAAATGTCAGGACGGTACAGATATCCCCCAAATGACCCCTTTTTTACAAAGTAGACAGTCCGAACGTACTTCATAAGAGGCATGGCGAGTTTTTTTTTAAGTTGTATTTTTTTGTCATTAATTTTTCAGAAAATGAAAAAATTATTTTCACTATTTTTTTTTTTTACATACTGTCACCAGGTGCATAGTACAGAGTCATCATATAACTGGCATGGCGGTGATCAGGGACACTGACTGGTGACAGTATGAATAAAAATATATACAGTGGGGATCGAAAAGTTTGGGCACCCCGAGCTAAAAAATTTGTATTAATGTGCATAAAGAAGCCAAGGAAAGATGGAAAAATCTCCAAAAGGCATCAAATTACAGATTAGACATTCTATAATATGTCAACAAAAGTTAGATTTTATTTCCATCATTTATACACTTTCAAAGTAACAGTAAACAAAAAAAATGGCGTCTGCAAAAGTTTGGGCACCCTGCAGAATTTATAGCATGCACTGCCCCCTTTGCAAAGCTGAGACCTGCCAGTGTCATGGATTGTTCTCAATCATCGTCTGGGAATAGGACCAGGTGATGTCAATCTCAAAGGTTTTAAATGCCCAGACTCATCTTGGACGACTTGCCCCAAACAATCAGCACCATGGGTTCTTGTGTCTAAGCAGTTGTCTAGAAAACTGAAACTGAAAATAGTTGTACGCTCACAAAGCTGGAGAAGGCTATAAGAAGATAGCAAAGCGTTTTTCAGATGTCAATATACCTCTGTTCGGAATGTAATTTAAGAAATGGCAGTCATCAGAACAGTGGAAGTTAAAGCAAGATCTGGAAGACCAAGAAAAATATTCAGACAGAGCATGTCAGGGCTCCCAGGTATGACCAGAGGTTGTGTGACTGAAGCAGGGAAACGCAAGACTCAGATATGTTATAAACTATATAATTTATTAACACTAACAGTACACAAACATAAACGCAGTGCAATACTAAACTATTATACGGTGCAAACAAACCAAACCACTCAAACCCACAGATAACAGTATATACAAGCAAGCGTCGTCAGGCAGGCCGGGGTCAATATCAATTGGGCAGGTAGGTACAGGGGGAGCAAGCGGAGAATGGTCGGGGTCACAGGCCAGGTTCAGCAGGTAGCAAGCAGCATAGTACAGAATGGTCAGGCAGAGGGATGGTCGGGTCACAAGCCAGGGAATCAGAACAGGTAGCAAGCAGCTTGTAGTACAGAGGGTCAGACAGAGGGATGGTCAGGGTCCACAAGCCAGATCAGAGCAGGAGAAGTCAGCAAAGACCAGAAACAGGATGCAGGACAGATACAGGGCCCAGGACAAAACACAACACCAAGGCAGAGTCTGCAAGTCTGGCCATCCCTTAAATACACCAAAGTATCATCAGTTCCAGGTGTTAGCTGGCTGAAAGGTTGTTGAGTCTCTGATTGCTGGGAGCACCCGCTGGCCAGCCCTGGTACTGGGCAGATCAAAAGGCAGGTGAGTCCCACCATTGCTGGCCCAGTCCAATTCCTAACAGTACCGTACCCCCCCCTCAAGGAAGCGGCCTCAGGACGCTCCAAACAGTCCTAAGCTGGGCAAAATGTCCCACCAGCCCGGGTCTGGGCAAACTGGCGGGATATCAAAGACTGCACACCGGGCAGGACTCCGGGCAAGCGGCACACCGGGCTGGAGTGCCCGTTAGGCAGCGGCACATCGAGCAGAGGCACACCAGGGCAGAGGCACACCGGGCAGAGGCACATCGGGTCAGGACTCCGGGCAAGGCACATCGGGCAGGACTCCGGGCAGAGGCACACCTCGGGCAGAGGCACACATCAGCAGGACTCCAGGCAGAGGCACATCGGGCAGAGGCACTCCGGGCAGAGGCACATTCGGGCAGGATTCCGGGGCAGAGGCACATCGGGCAGGATTACCGGGGCAGAGGCACATCGGATTACCAGGCGGAGCAGCAGGCAGCCGGGCCACCAGGCGGAGCAGCAGGCACCGGCACCGGGCCCCCGGGCGGGGCGGGCGGCACACCGCCCACCGGGGCGGGGCGGTGGCCCGGGCCCCCGGGGCGCGGCAGGCACCGGGCCCCCGGGGGCGGGGCGACAGGCACCGGGCCCCCCGGGCGGGGCCGGCAGCCCGGGCCCCCGGGCCCCGGGCCGCGCGACCGGCCCCCCGCGGGCGACGGCACCGGGCCCCCAGGCGGGGCCCCCCGGGCCCCCAGGAGGGCGACAGGGCACCGGCCCCCCAGGCCGGGCACCGTGCCCCCAGGCGGGGCGACAGACGTGCCCCCAGGTTTGGCGACAGGCCGGGCCCTCCAGGAGGGGCGACAGGCATCGGGCCCCCAGGAGGGCGACAGGCACGTGCCCCCAGGCGGGTGCGACAGGTGCCCCCAGGATGGGCGTCAGGCAGGGCGTCCGACCGGCGACAGGCAACCAGCCCCCAGGGGCGACAGGCACCGTTGCCCCCAGGCGGGGCGACAGGCACCGTGCCCCCGGCCCCCAGGAGGGGCGACAGGCAGCATCAGGGCCCCCAGGATGGGCGACGAGGCATCGTGCCCCCAGGCGGTGAGGCGGCGACAGGCATCGTGCCTCCCAGCGGGGGGGACAGGCAACGGGCAGTCGGCGTCCGGGCGGGTGTCGACAGGCAACCGGCGCCCCCGCAGGAGGTGGCGACAGGCACCCGGGCCCCCCATGCGGGGCGACAGGCAAAACTCGTGCCCCCAGGCCCCCGGCGGGCCGACAGGCACCGAGTGTCCCCAGGGCGGGCGGGAACAGGCATCGGGGCCGACCAGGTGGGGGCGACAGGCATCGAGGGGCCCCCCAGAGGAGGGGCGACCATGGCATCGTGGCCCCCAGGAGGGGCGACAGGCATAGTGCCCCCAGGCGGCACTGGCGCGACAGGCATCGTTGCCCCCTAGGCGGGAGCGACAGGCGTATCGTGCCCCCAGGCGGACCGGTCACTCCTATATCAGCGGCGGGCGCCGGACCCCCAGGCGGCGAGCCGACAGTCCTCGGGACCCTCTGGCGGAGCGGGAGGGGCGCTACGGACCGCCCAGGGCGGAAACTACGCATTGGCCATCGGGCCCACAGCGGTGCGGGCGCGGCGCACGGACCACCGTGTGGAGCGACAGGTTCTTGTGCCCTCCCATCGGCGGACAAACGGCGGGCGCCCGGACCCCCATGTGGAGCGACAGGCAATCGGGCCTCCAAGAGCGGGGCGAACAGGCATCGTGCCCCCAGGCGGATTCCACAGTGACAGCGACAGGTCTCGGGCCCTCAGGCGCCGGAGCGCGGCGGGCGCCGGAACCCCCAGGTGAGACGCGACAGGTCTCGGGCCCTCGCAGGCGGATTGACAGAGGCCAGGCGCCAGAGACCCCCCCAGGCGGAGCGGACAGGGTCTCGGGCCCTCAGGCGGGAGAGGCGGGCGCCGGACCCTCCAGGAAGGGATGAGGACAGGTCATCGGCGTCTCCTCAGCGGGGAGCGGCGGGCGCCGGACCCCCAGGAGTAGGCGGACAGGTACTAGCGGCCCTACTCAGGCGGAGCAGGCGGGGCAGCCGGAACCCCCAGGCGTAGAGAGACAGGGTCTCTCGGGCCCTCAGGCGGCTGCGGCAGGCGCCGGACCCCCAGTGAGAGTAGCGACAGGTCTCTGGCCCCTCAGGCGGAAGTGGGCGGGCGCCGACCCCCGCGCCAGATGGTCATCAGCGGACAGGTCTTCGGCTGCCCCTCAGGCGGGAAGGCGTGGCGGCGCCCGGACCCCAGGTGGAGTATGCGACAGCGTCTCGGGCCCCATTTTTAAGCGGAGCGGCGGGCGCATCGGGTACACCCCCAGGAGGAAGCGACAGGTTACTCGGACGCCTTCAAGCGGTGTGGCAGGTGCCCGGACCCCCAGGACGGAGCGACAGGTCTCGGTGCCCTTCAGGCGGAAAGCGACTTCAAGGTCTCAGGCTTATAGCCACCAGCGGCGGCGGTTCGGGCGCCTTCGGATCCCCAGGCGGAGCGGCGGCGCGCTTGGGCCCCCAAGCGGAGCAACAGGTCTCGGGCCCCAGGCGGAGAGGCGCGGCAACACGAGACACCAGGCTCACGGCGACATGTGGGCTCCGAGTCAGTACTGGTATGACCTGCAGGCACTGGGTCCGACATGGATTTCTTGGCTGGACAGCGGGCCATCGGGTCAACCAGGCATCAGTGTCATTTGGCTCGTACAGCGGGCAAGCGTCATCTGGCAAGGCTTAGGTGGGCCTCTCGGATCAGCGACTGTGTGCATGGACCGCGGGTGCACTGGGTCAGACATATTGATGTTGATCGTCTGGCTCTGGACAGGGGCATCGGGTCACCCAGCATCAGGTCATTTGGCCTCGGACTGCACAGCGGGCACCGCGTCATCTGGCAAGGCAAGTGGGCTCCGAGTTCAACTGAGTATGACCGCGGGCACGTGGGTCAGACATTGGATCGTCTGACTGGACAGCGGGCATCGGGGTTCAACCAGGCCCATCAAGTCATTTGGGCTTCGGACAGCGAGCACACGCGTCATTCTGGCAACGGCAAGTGGGCTCTCCGAGTCAAACTGCGCATGAACCGCGGGCACCGTGGCAGCCATTGAATCGTCTGCGCTGAAACCAGGCGGGCATCGGGTCCACCGGCATCAGGTCCATTTGGCTCGACAGCGGGCACCGCGTCATCTTGGCAAGGCTAGGTGGTCTCCGAGTCATCAGGCTCGACAAGTGGGCACCGGGTCATCAAGGTACCGGAAATGTCTGGCCACGTACAGCGGGCCATCGGGTCATCAGGTATGACAGGCGGACACTAGTCACGCAGGCAATCAGGTCATTTGGACTCTTGCCAGTGGGGCACCGCGTACATCTGGCAAGGCACGTGGGCACCGAGTGTCACCAGGTACGACAGCGGGACTCTGTGTCAATTGGCACGACAGCGGGCACCGGATCATCTGGGAATCAACAGCGAGGCCATCGAGTCAGAACCTGGGCGCCGTGTTAATAGAGATCGTGCAGGCTGGTATCAGTGTCATCCATTGCTGGGTAGAGGGCTTCAGGCCGGAGTAGAGGCATCAGCAGCCGAGTAAAGAGGCAATCGGGGCGCCGAGTAGCAGGCATCGGGCCCGAGTTAGATGGCATCGGGTCCGATGTAGATTGAGCTTCGGGCTCACCCGATGAGTAGAGGCATCGGGCTGAAGAGTGGCATCAGGCCGAGTTACAGAGGCATTCAAGGGCCGAAGTACATGGCATCATAGGGGCCGAAGTAGAGGCTTCAGGCCCGCGTAAGGGCTTCAGGCTGAGGAAGAGGCTGCAGGCCGCGTAGAGGCTTCTGGGACACCGGAGTAGAGGCTTCATCAGGCCCGAGTAGAGGCTTCAGGCCGAGTAGAGGCATCAGGGCCGCAGTAGAGGCGTGCTGTAGAGGCTTCAGGCCGACAGTAGAGGCTTCAGGCCGAGTAGAGGCTTCAGGCCGATGAGGACGGCTGTACAGGCCGCGGTCAGAGGCTTCAGCCGTGTAGAGGCTTCAGGCCGAGTAGAGGCTTGCAGGACCGAGTAGAGGCATCACAGGTCCTGAACCACGGAACAGCAGCTCACCCGGTTTTGCGATACTGGCAGGATGGTATTGGTTGGAAGTGAATTTTCGCTTATTGTTCGTGGGGTTTTAGACTACTGGATGCACTGCAAGGTAAAATTGCAGGTCTGTGCTAAACGAATGGGAGCAGCTGGAGACAGTGAAGAACTGGAGGATGGAACAGGAGAGAGGGAGCACCGGTTGCATTACAGAGGGCTTTTTTACCAGGACGTTTTAAAGGAAGGATAGGTGCTGCGCGAGTGGGAACAGTCGGGTTACGTGACGATTGCGGTAGATAGCCACAGTATCACTGGGCTGGTAATGGAGGAGCTGGTGGGGAATACAGGAGTAGAGTTAGGCGCAGGCGGGGGTCTTGTGTAAGCTGACTGAGGCTGGTGGTGCAATCCAAATCTGTCCCATGTCTGACAGTAGGGGTTGAACAATGATGAGGCCTTACACGCAAAGCCTGTCTGGTCAATGATCTGCAACTGCGTTTTATACAATCTCTTAGCTGTCTGATCTCCAGCTGCTCCCTCTCCTGTTCCATCTCCAGTTCTTCTCTGTATCCAGTGCTCCATTCGTTTATGCAGACCTGCATTTACTTGGCAGGTCTGCAGGCAAGCCGACATGGAGCAGCTGTGAGTGACACGAGAGAAGAACTGGAGGATGAACAGGACGAGGGGCAGCAGCTGGAGACAGACATAAGAGATTGTATAACGGCAGTGCAGTCAGCTTGACCAGACAGGGCTTTGTGTGAAGCTCAGCTTTGTTCTACCCATACTGCAGACATGGACAGATTTGTTGCACACAGCCTCAGTTCAGCTTACAAAGGACCCTCGTCACCTGCTCCCTAACTCTACTCCTGTATTTCCCACCAGCTCTCCATTTACAGCCCAGTATACTTGGCTATCTGATGATGTCAGTACCTTGTTCCGCACTCTCGCTGCAGACCTCTCTGCCTTTAACCCTTGTAAGAAGAAAGCCCTCTGTAGCATACTGCTCCTCTCCTAGTTCCAACCTCCGCAGTTCTTCTCTGTCTCAGCTGCTCCATTCGTTTGCAAGACAGTGAAGAAAGGGAGGATGGAACAGGGAGAGGGGAGCAGTTGCTACAGAGGCTGTTTCTTCAGGGTTTACACAGGCAGGATAGGTGCTCGCCGCGTGGGAACAGGGTACTGACATGCGGTAGATAGCCAAGTATATGGGCTGTACGCTGTAGGCAGCTTGGTGGGAATACAAGGAGTAGAGTTAGGAGCAGGACGCGGGGGTCTTTGTAGCTGACTGATGGATGGGGCTCTGCAAACAAATCTGTCCATGTCTGCAGTAGGGGTTGAACAAAGCATGAGCTTACGCGCATAAGCCTGTTCTGGTCAATGTACTGCACTGCGTTTATACAAATCTCTTAGTGTCTGTGGTGAACATGATGGAATAACACTCCAGAAAGTAACCACATCATTCCTCTAATTAACCCACACCAGGGACTCTACGCTGGTCTGCACTTATGGTGGCAAAAATTCATCCCTGCATTCGGGGGAACCAGATGAAACAACTCTGCACAAACCTCAATCAATGGCTGCACTCAGAGAAACTGTGCCCCTGAGTCTACTAGACACATGTCATGCGAGCTGTATACATTCTAGCAATTCATCCGGGTATACTCCTTCAGAGTTTGATAAGCATACTCCCGGTCATCAAACTCTAGCAGATATAAATACTCAACCTCATCCAGATTTTCGCATCCACTTCCCATCAAATACAAGCCAAGATGCCTTCCCTGTGCAGCAACTTTCTGGTCAGGGATTGGCCTTGGTGTATTGTCAGGGCTACCAGAGAGCACCCCTGTATTGCATTGACCAGAGGTGTGTGACTGAGCAGGAAACGCACAGACACTCAGAGTATGTTATAAACAATATAATTTATTAACACTAACAGTACATATCATAAAAAGCTAGTGCTATACTAAAACATAAATACTGATGCAAAACAAACCAAACCACCCACAGATAACGCAGTAAGACAATGCACGCGTCGTCGAGGCAGGGGGGTCATCGATTCAATTGGCATAGGTAGGTACAGGGGGAGCAAGCGGAGAGATGGTCCGGGGTCACAGTGCCAGGTTCAGAAGGTAGACCAAGCAGCATGAGGTACCAGAGGGTCAGGCAGATGGATGGTTCCGGGGTCACATAGCCAGGGGATCAGAAACAGTATCAAGCAGCGTAGTACAGGAGGGTCAGTCTAGAGGGACATGGTCAGGGGTCACATAAGCCGAGGGATCAATAGCAGGAGGAAGTCAGCAAAGGAAACAGAACAGAGAAACGGATCTGCAGGACAGATACAGGGGGCCCAGGGACAAACCACAACGACCAATGCAGAGTCTGCCCAAAAAAAGTCTGGGCCATCCCTTAAATACTACCAGTATCATCAGTTCCAGGTGTTAGCTGGCTGAAAGGTTGAGTCCCTGCTGATTGCTGGAGCGCACCCGGCTGGCCAGCCCTGGGTACTGCAGAATCAAAGAGGCAGGTGAGTCCACACACATTGCCGGCCAGTCCATTCCTAACAGAGCAGCTCGCAGGATTGTGAGAAAAACAATTCAAAAACCCATGTTTGACCTGCAGAAAGAAAAGATCTGGGCAGACACTGGAGTTGTGTGGTATACACTAATTCCCACTATGTGGGGGGGGGTAATGTTTTTTTTTTTTGTGGGGGTTTTTGTGTGTGTTTTGTGTTGTGGTGGGGGGGGGGGGGTAAAAGCATGATATCTGTTGATACATATATGGTCTTCATGGAAAGAGAGTCATCAGAAAGAAACCTCTTCTACGGTCCTGCCACCACAAAAAAATCATCGTCTTGAACTTTGCAAATGAAAGCATATAGACAAGCCTGATGTCATCATTTTTGAAACAAGTTTCTTGTGGGTGACCCTGATCTGAGGTTAAAATTGAAAACTTTTGGCCGGAATGAGCAAAGGCTACGTTTTGGAGAAGAAGGGGCGCACAGAATTTAATAAAATAAAAGAGAACCTCTGTCCAAACTGTTAAGCATGGGGGTTGGATCAATCATGCTTTTGGGGTTGTGTGTTGCAGCGTCAGGTGGCACAGGGAACATCTCACAAGTAGAAGGAAAAAATTGGGATTTCAATAAAATTTCAGCAAATTTTTTGGATGGAGATGGTAACTCTGATGCCATCTGTGGAAAAAGCTGAAGTTAAAAGAGAGGATGGCTTCTACAAACTGGATAATGATCCTAAACCACACCTCGAAAATCCACGGGTGGATTACATCAAGAGGCGTAAACTGAAGGTTTTGCCAATGGTCTTCCACACAATATCCTGACCTCAACATCATTGAAAATCTATGGATAGACCTTAAAAGAGCAGTGCGTGACAGACAGCCCAGAAATCTCAAAGAACTGGAAGACTTTTTGTAAGGAAGAATGGGCAAAGATACCTCAAACAAAGAAATGAAAGACTCTTGGCTGGCTACAAAAAGCGCGTTTACATGCTGTGGGATACTTGCCAAAGGGGGGCAGTGCATGCTATAAATTCTGCAGGGGGCCCAAAACTTTTGCAGATGCCATTTTTTTGTTTTCTTGTGTCATTTTGAAAGTGTAAATGATGGGAAATAAAAATCTAACTTTTGTTGAACATATTATAAGAATGTCTAATCTGTAATTTGATGCCTTTTGGAGAATTTTATCCATCTTTTCTTGGCTTCTTTATGCACATTTAATACAAATTTTTAGCTGGGGTGCCCAAACTTTCGATTCCCCACTGTATATATTTTATTTTTTTTTTATTTTTCAATTATTTATTACATTTTTTTTCTTTTTTTAAGATTTTTTTTTCATATTTCACTATGTTCCAAAGTAGTACAATGTTACCATAGTAAACCCAAACCCCCTCTAAGACCTCCAGGACTCCTTTCCACCTCCACAAGGTTATAAGCAGGGGCGGGACTGACCATTTCGAGCACTCGGGCACTGGAAAATTGGTGAAAGAAAATGAAAATGTATATTTTTTACGCAAAAGTTGTCAATCTATGAGAACTATTTCTATTACACAGTATAGGGGCATACTTAAAATTACACCCCAAAACACATTCTCTAACTCTTCCTGAATATAGCGATACCGCAAAATGTGTGAGAATTTTTCACAGT